GCGTGACTTGTGTGACAAAGTCGCATAAATTATATCAAGCGAAGCCGGCATTCGCTGTATATCATAAATAAAAARGTTGTTCTACCTAGATTGGAACGCAAAGCCTATGAAAATTACAGCAACTATTAGATAAAGGGTTGAGSTAAAAGGAGAAGAACAGAAATCTCTGGAGCCGTTTGGAAGAAACACATTCACTTTTTGTGATTTTTTAACCGTACAATTAGTCAGCTGTTTGTTTTAGAGTAATTCGTCTAAAACTGGAATTATCACCGTTTGAAAATGCGCTATATCTTTTCAACCAGCCAATRAATTACTAAATACTGAAAACTGTCAAAAACTGCAATAATCACTGCATGTTTTATCAAAATTTTAGCACGTTTGAATACTTTTGCGAAGCGAGCGAGTTAAAAAGGTACAAAATTTGCGTTTCATTAGTTGTGATCCGCCTTATTTCAAACACGTGTCATCTATCTTTAACGGATTTCATTCGACAGTAATACCTTTTTTTACCGATTAGCTTTAAGGTTGAATAAAATTGAGAGCTTGAAATGGCGAATAAAGCTGCAAAATCGAATTGCGACTTTTCACGCTCCTTATACTTCAACGTTTGACGTCGCACGAGTCCCGAAATTGCATGTTGTCGTGAATATTGGTTAAGAAAAGCCAATAAAGTGTTACAACTGTTTCAATTTAAAGCAGCACTCAACATTTCAGTACTCCATTCACTTCATTCATTAGTTGTTGTATTTTTTGACYAATGAGCAGTAAGCGAGAAATCCGCGGGAAACCAACCTCTTCCCCAGGGCAAATTCGGTACCCCGAGCCTTCGTTTTTCTTGGACAGCGCCTTCAACCAAAACGAAGGTTCAGTACAAAGTTCGTAATAATACGCACTTACACGAGATTGTCCAAAGACGTTTGTCAAATGATGATGAGTATAGAGGTAGGGGATTTCACATACAGTATAAAGATACAAATTATACGCAAAGTACGTCGTAATTCTCATGATTGATTTTGTACAGCAGAAAAGACGGAAAATACGAATAAGGGACCTAAACCCTCACCTTACTTGCATGTTGTGCAAAGGATATTTTGTGAACCCAGTAACTATTACAGAATGTATTCACACATGTAAGTAAACTTTTTTAAATAAGTTTTAGTTATTTTGAACTCACTCCCTTTGATTCCCATCTTTGATGGAAATTAAGGGAAGGGGGGGGGGGGGGGGGGTGGATTTATTCATGATTTCCAGTGCACTTTTTGATGACACCACACCCTTTTATTTGCACATGATTTAGTTTGCAAAAGCTGCCTTGTAAGACATATCAGTCTAGTTAACAAGTGTCCTTCATGTGGAATTGTAATACATGAAACACAACCAGTCTATAACATAAGGTAAGAGAATACTTCATGTGCGATCTATAGTTATGAAAATTTAGTCATTAGATAACTGATGAATTGCCCTACTAGTATACTATAATGACTTCACAGCATATTTACTGTGGGTATAAATGCTGTGTGAAAATTTGAAATGTACCATGTATAGATCTATGCTTACTTTGGCATGAAGTCATTACTTAACCATCTAGTCGACACAATACTTAGCGTTAAAACAACAGATTGTTTTGGACGTAAGTGTGACATATGGCAATTCAGTTAAGTCTCAATATAAAAACAGTCACTGGAAAACAGCAGATCAAGTTGTTTGCAGTCATTGCACTTCCTTCTATGCACCAATAACAACAACTTTTTTAAAGGAGCAGTTTTACCTAGAAATACTATCCCTAGGTGACATAGAATGGTGCAGTTTTCAAACAGACACACACACTRTCTTATGTGATTTTTCTTATTTTTTTCTTTTTGAAGATCTGATAGAACAATGCAAGATATCATCAATAAAATTTTACCAAGAATTGAACATGGTAATGTKTTTATAAACCATACCCTCAAGCACACCTTTCTTTGTCAAATAAGCAGATTTGAAAAATCYGGTAGTTGTAGTGACATTGTAGCTCATCTGGTATWCCATCTGCAGTACAAATAGGAGGGTCATCTGTTTGAATCTCAGCAAGATTGGAAATTKATTTTYSGAATTTATTTCCAAGGGTCTTTCTAACCTATATACTTATAAGCACTATAACTTCATTTCTATATCATGTATTTCTTAGTAGGKTTGAATTGGAACTTTAGTAATTTCAAGGTTCAATTGCATCATGATTAAAGATTATACTGKTATACTAATGAGGAATTTGATTAATCTTGATGTGATATTATCACTAATGTCATATGTTGATTAAGATGAGAGGAAGAGAGAGAAAAGATTTTATAAAACCAAAGGTCTTCCATATCCTGCATCTCCTTTGAGAGGTAATGTAGTGTAATGGTTATACTTACAATGTATATATTTAAGTATTACTTGATAAAAATGAAGATTCATCTACATGCGTGAATACATGAAGATTGACTATAAAGATTGAAAATACTGTCTGATGAGTGSGTAAGCAGGAAACTTGGAGTCACATCAAATCTTGCCTCTTCGTTATATACTTAGCTCTACACTAATGGGGGTTGTTCTTCATATGATTGTATAAAGATTAAATAATTTTAAACCTTGAATTTAGCTTTAATTAAGAAACTTTCTGTTATATGTGGCATTCAAAGTTGAATGTTATTCTCTAATGTTATTATAGTTGTCCGAGCCCAAATCTATGCATTATTCCTTCATTTGAGGATTCATATGACCATTCARCTGCTGAGATTACTAAGTTTTGCATTTTCAAATTTCTGTACTAGTATTTTTTATATTATTCTAATACATTGTATGTCTAGCTCCATTTAGTAACTCTTCAATGCTCAAAGAACAAAAAACCAAACTACTGCCTACCAAATCTCTGGCAAATTTATCAAAACCAGTTGTTAAAGCACCTAGTATTGGACACTTACATCACTCAACAGATCAAATATCTTTACAGCTAGAATACAGCAGGTCAGACTATATACTAGTCAGTGTTTTAATTTAGAGTTATAACTACAGTACTATGATATGCTTTTCTTGTTACCAGTCTAGAGAAAACACTTGATGGACTTGAAAATGGACTACAGGTATTATTAGAACAAAAGTACTGCTACCAGGAAATCTTATTRCTATCAATTTTTAACCATATTGTTTTGCACTTGATATTTTGTGACTTCCTTATGTGTTTTAGCCACTACCCAAGAACTTTATTCGTTGTTCTACACACGTTACTGTTGGACTATTACAGCGATTTGTTGCAACTAAACTACAGTTGGAATCAGAAAGAATTGTGAGCTTGACAACAATGTGTTGCTGTTATGTTCTAAGATAGTATTTCACTGAATTGTTTTCATTTTCATTCTAGTTACAATGATATATTTTTTTTGCAGATTGCAATTACACATAATGAGATTGAGATGGACAAGGAATTTACGTTGAAATACATAAGTGACAATCTGCTGGAATCTATGGTTAGTAATTTGACTTGTTTGTACTGTTCATCATGTGTGAATGCAACARGAATTTACTAGAGTGAAATAAAATAAGAATAGAAAAAAAATAAAAAAGGGAGACAAGCAAATAAAGCAGAAAATAAAATAAAGCAGATTACAGGATATTACATGGGCGCACAGAGATATGGATTTTATCTTCGAGTGTTGAAAAGRTCTCTMATGAGCAAGCATAGCTTTTTTCTCACTTCCACTATATTGAGAAACGTCAAATGATTTCTTTTCAATAGTGAAAATAYCATGTTATTTTCACTAGTGAAGATATCAAGTTTACGAAATGGAGAAATATAGGTATTTCATAGATAATTATACGATAAAGGAGAGTACGTATTCTTGTTTATTATATACATATCGATGAGATACCAGGTTTTCTCTAGTTGTGAAAATGCTATATTTTGAACCATGAAAAGATATCATATCTTTCACATGTGAAGATATCATTGTTGGCTTGGTGACACTGCATTTTTTCGGCCAATTAGATCAATTTTTATATAAAGATTGATAGATCGATATGTATATAAGAAATAGAACATTACATGGCYGCTTGTTAATACTAATTTTATWTTATTTCCACGMGCCCATGTAATATCCTMTATRTATTTCTTTGTCAGTCATGGCTTCATCAGTGCATTTAGTTAACTAATGGTAATTGCTTACTATGAGTAAATATATATTATCATTACAAGACAAGGGACACAACTTTTTCGTCTTCTTCTAATGTAGACCAAATAAAAATTAAGTAGCAATAGAATTGCAAATTAATAATCAGATCACACATGTATGATTTATATGCATTTTACTCTGTTTTCAGGAGCGTTTGTACCCATTAAAGCTAAAGTTCAAACCRATAGATTTAATATGACTTCTCAAACTTTGCATTGTTATTTACAAAAGCTAAAACCATACTATGATCATACTCCATCTCAATCCTCAAACTTTGATCTATTTAATATTCCATGTAGTGACTGAAGCTTGGGAATCGTCTAGTTGAAATAAAAGGTTAATTTTTACATAGTGTATGCTTGTAGTCAGTGTGCTCTCTCAGTGGGGGGAGAACCAGCTGCTGGATCAGTAACCCCATTTTGAAAGCTTTCATTGATAATTTCCCTTTTTTGTATTTATTTTATTATGCCTGGGTGTTCCCATTCTATGTTCAACATAATACGTTTAGTATTCATTAAAGCAGTCAAAGAGCGTCTTTTAAGACATTTTTCACAGAGTYATCTCACTTCTTTGTTCCTTTTCAKTCATCAATCATTCGAGATTTAAGTCGTGGTGGGCTGGCAAGAGGCTGGCAGTAAAGCAAAACTTCTCGACCACCTCCCTTCTAGTAAAACTAGACCCTCTTAGAGCGTCAAGTCGGACTAGCATTATTGCTTTCAGTATATTTTAGAAAGATATGTAAAACTTTATTCATCATCGACTATCTTAAGTTGGATGAATTAAGCAACTTCTCGACCTTGGAGAATAATTCCACTTGTTTCGAGATTCTGAYAGATAACAAAAGTTCCGATACTTGACTTCGTTTTGTTAATTTATTTTTAATTAAGTTTTGTATTGAGTTCTTTTACTAGGCGCGGGTTATCAKCCTAAAGCCAAACCCCAAACTCCGCGATTGTTTTTATATTTATTTATTTATATTGCATATTAAGTTTTATTATTTTGTTTGAAACTGTTTTGCATTTCGTAGTTAATATTTGCTTATTGTTATTCGGGATTCAAAAATGCTGATTTCCTGTACGCGATGTTTCGGCGCACATAGTGCGTCTTCTTCAGGGCTTGGAGTACGTATTACCGATCAAATATTTTCTTTAGAGTTGTCTTCAAGAAGTCGATATTTGCATAAGTGTTGAGAGGTATTTTATTATGTAATGATCTTTCACTCTCGATCGTTTCCATAAATTTTCTTTTGTCCAGGTTTCTCTCCAGGGATATGATTCGGCTTTTGTCCCAATTTATCTCGTGAGTGCAGTTTTGGCTGTGTCTTGCTAGGCCTCCATCGCCTGTGTTCATTCTGCATTCGGCTGATTCAACGTTTTCTTGTTGTGTGTCCTCTTGTGTAAGTCGTATACTTTGCTTTGGTGTTCTTTCAATCTGGTTTTCCATTTTCTTCCCGTCTCTCCTATGTACTCATACTGTCACATCCACATGGTATTTTGTATCCGTTTTTCAGCTCCTAGTGGTCTCCGTGCATTGGTTTTTAGATCTCTGACTTTAGKATCAGATCGCATGGCCGTTCTGAATTGGTATTTTCTAGCGATGGCAATTTCTCAAAAACTTTTAACGGATTTGAGTTTCAAATTAGTGTTGGAGTTTTTGGAGCCGTTTAAAACACTCGAGATCGTGTTTTAAACTATACAAAATATATCACGAATATGTCGCCTTAGCCTTGCCTAACCACCAACGAGACCGTGCACAGGGACTACAAGCTCTTTCTCAGTGGTGCACATGTAAGCACCCCTACCCTCCCCGACCTCAGATATCAACACTGTGATACAGACACTGCAAGTACAACTTCTCGCCCACMATACATATTATAAKTGCCCTAGTTCATTATGACGTCACATCAAAACATTCTATTGTTTTAACGCTAAGAATTATGGTCGCCAGAAGGSATCAGAGTGACTGCATTTCMAATAAAATGTACATGGACAATCATTTATACATGATATATATCAAATCGCGATTCATTTARGTTCTACTTTAGAAGACAATATAAATAGATCCAAATTTCCACTGTTTTTGAGCATCGTTTTCCGATGTAAACATACTGTGACGTCATAATGAAATAGGTCAATTAATATAAACTATTAGCTATATTCAAATCAAAGTGCAGAAACGCAGCTGTTWTATATTTTATTAAATTATTCTGCTTTTTTAAGCGCACGTTTTAGTAAAATTCTTTATCGATTATAATACAAAAGTACATAGACATATTGGATTATATCTTTATTATTCATTGTCCGCTGAATTTGGAAAGCACATTCGCAAATGTAACGGCTTTCAATATCTGTTAGTTAGCTTCACAATGAACGGCCTCATGTGTCCTTTGATATAAATACGGTGTGAGAATGAGTTATTTTTATTCCTAAAGGTAACTACTTCTCACTCACACCTGGACTAGCCACTATAATACCGACCCTTTCCAACTGAACTAGCCCCAGTATAACGACGGTTTCCTATCCAAATTAAGAGGTTCATTCAGTGTCAAATCAGAATGTTCAGTTAAAATATAAAAATGTTATAAGAACATATATGATTTTAGACGCTCGTTTCGTTCCGAGTTTCCTTTTTCTCCAKTAAATATGGRATAGGAACGTATGCCATGCGAGGAACCGTGTCGGGAATCCACTCCTTCGGCTCAGGTTTTATTCGTTCACTCTTTAACGAMGTTGCTGATGACCGAGTAGCCCCGGAACGAGATGTGTCTTTTCGTCTTCCTGCACCGTCTCGGTATCGTCTAGTTCTAGATTTATCGTAACGTTGTCTTGCTTTACGACGAGGAAGATTAAGACCGTTAACCGTCTGTGCACCCTGTGGGGGCCCTAAAAGAGAAGTGTTTTCAGAATCTGTTACATCGTTTTCAGGCTTACTCGGCCCATTTTGTCCATTATGTGATGCAATCGTTTTAGCGGCGCCATCTATCGTGGCCTCCTCGTCATTTTGTTGCTCATCGATTGACTCATAAACGTGATCACTTTCACTCTGTCTATGTCCAACACGGCCGTTAGGACATTTAGGTATGGACACATACCGTTCTTCGGGAATTGTATTCGGAAGCGAAGGATAGTCTGGATTTCTTAAAAAGTCGAAATTTGCTGGGCCATATATTGGCCGTTGACTATGATTGGGGTAAACTCCAGCAGTTTGATGATTTCCGGAGCCCGGCTGACCGTTGTTACTTGATTGACCGATGGTTCGCGTTTGACCATGACAACCTTTACTACCTGGGTGAGCCAGGTACCTTTGGTAAGGTCTTGTACCCTGATAAGCTCCTGCAACCGAATATCCAGTAGGCGGATATCCTCCGGTACTAGGAGCTGAATTCCTGACATCGTTTGCCCCAGGTATTGGGGGTCTAGATGTCATAGTAAYGGGTAACGGGAYAGAAACATCCGAAGAAGCACAAGACGAATAAGGAACTGGAGTTTCTAAATAACTTGCTGGTTCTCTTACGSACGACAACTCAGATRGAGCACTTTCAAAAGCATCCCTCTCAGGTATCGAGGTATGATTTTCTAGCGGACGGTGCATTGACTGCACTTCTTTTTGAGCTCTAAGACCAGATTCTCTTGAACTAGATATTCCATTTTTGTCTGGGAACGCTAAAGGCGCTCGAGTTCTCGTTTTCTTCTTTTTCTTTTTAGTGGCTGAATCAGCAAAGCAGTAGCTGTAACGTGGTGGTTGCTGATCGTTAAGGCCCGGTTGTGTATGACTGAGAGGCAATGGTGCAGAAACGCACGACTGTTTGTCCGACATTGATGTAGATATCGAGTGTTTATCTGAGCCTGGTGGAGAWCTCGGTTTCTTTGGTTGGACATCTCCGTTACGGGGTAAGCATTTGACAATATTTATAGGAAGATCATTGATAGTTAACGCAGCAGATGATGGCAAAGATACATTTGATTGAATATCAGAGCATCCTGGTTCGATTGGAGCTCCGTAAATTCTTGGTATTGAATTAGCAGGGGCGCCGTTATTCCTGGGAGTTTCCCCGTTCATTAGCGAAAYACTGGGTTTATCCGACGTCGAATCAGTATGAGGAATAACTTCTTGATCAACCAAATAATTCTTGTTTTTACGAAAGCATGACCTGAAACAGTCTACCCAAAACTTTTTAACGTTGGCCTTCTTTAAACAATGAAATACAAAGATGGCAGCACCTAGGCAAACATTCCCAACGGCATACACACAGTTCAAGACCAAATATAAAGATCTTGATTCGTTATAGATGACAAGCAAAAGCGCCAGGGCGAAATTGATGACAATTAAGACAAGCACGAGTAAACTTCCCTTTTGGTACAAGAAAATATCACTCTTCTCCGGAAGAACTTCGTTCAAGTGTTGCAAGAGCTCACTTTTGGATGTAACGCCTTCAGGTAATTGTTCRTCTTCCGTAGTACTGGCTTCCTCTAAGGGCGATGTACATGCACCCAATTCGATGATACTGTATGTGCTATAAATCACGTTATTGAGTCGGATATAGAGTATAATATCAATTAGAATCACTAGACATGCAGGCCCAACAAAAGCACCAAAGAAGGGGTTTCKCCTCAGCCAACAGCTGAAATGATAACAAAATCGTTTCAYTCAGTACACAAAAATTTGTTACACAAGAGAAAGCTAAGTTAAAAAATAAGCCTRAGGCACACTAGTAGGACACGACAGCTATCTCGAATTAGTGTTTTAGGACCTAAGCACTTACACATTTTCAACGCTGTAATTATCAGGATTTCCAGCAACCGTGATTCCACAAATTATAAGGGGAATACCTACGTAGAGATATACATAAACATTAAATCTCGAATGTTTGATTTACAGAAAGAGTGTAATAATCACAATGATTTTCATGATCATTAATTATTCACGAAGTATCCAGCCAATCCGTGATCGTTATTTGTACTACGTTAAAATTGACTGGAAAATTCCTTCTCTTTTTYCACTCCTTTTTCCCTTGATAAGTTTGATAAGTCGTCTGACGTCTCTAAGTCCATATTGTCGGACATTACAAGAACTCACCCCAACTTGTCATATAGTAACGCAAMACAGGATTGAACTCTTCTGGAGTAACAGCAGTACGGAGCATACGACATAGACAAAGTGCACCACAGCCCACCCAGAGGAGAGAACACAGCACGAAATAATGCAATAGYACTCCAACAGCACGACACATCAACGTGTTGCCCACGTGATAAATGCCAACAGCGAACAGCATCACCGACACTAAAAGAGCCAGGCACAGGTTCATAAGCATAGCGGCATCATCACGATTGTAACGTAACTTTCTGAAAATAAATAAAAAACAAAATGGTGGTGGCAAATCTTATCTTTTCAAACGCAATGATTATACCAAGTTACCTGAATACAGCATAAGTGATAAAGGTAATCAATAGTAGAATCGCACACAGACCAGCACCAACGTATGCCATTACTTCCAATGCTACACCTATCTCATGCTTAGCTGCTAAAGGTGGTAGTCTTTTTACGAAGGACTGGAAACAAGAATTAATATAGCAATTGCCTATTAGTATAGATAATGGCACCTTAGTGTTAGCAGATTGTTAATGCTGATACAGTGATATCACAGTTAGCCTACCAATACGAATCTGGGAACCTTATYAAAACTGTTGTAGACCTTATGAAACATTGATGGCATACCATGGTTGCAAAATCCACACAATGATATACCTCATATTACAAAATCTCTCCGTGATTTTGTTTCAAAAGATTTTTATAACGTCACAATGAAGTCAAGTAACGTCAAAGCGAGAATTTTGTAAGTAACATCACCTCGATACGCCCCAGAAGACTAACATTAAGTATGACACAAAGTTCAAACGAGTTGCTCTCACCATTAACAGAGCAAAATAGCTCTTATCAGCCAATCCTTTGCAGTACGATATTGAGATGTTTTGAGCTTTAGTAATTCTGCAATCTTTATTCTCTACCCACAATCCTATTCCCCCTACAAATGAAAAACCAATACTTAAGTGTACGTGTAACATGGGGCAGATATCTAAATAAAAGAATTCCTACCTACCTTTCTTATTGGGATCCCAGTATACAGCAACTGGAGGGTATTTTTCACTATGCTAAAAGAGTTACAAAATAAACACGATAACATATGCCAACTCTTCGCAAGTAAACTATGAACTAAAAAAGTATACTACCTCATGATTACTGTACTTGATAGCGATGGGTTCAGTCAAATTGTCCAGAGATAATTGTCCTTAAAGAATGAAAGAAAAGTCGTTTGGAGTGCAAACCAATTCTTCCGTGTTCAAGTTTCATATAAGTTATGATTCGACTGATCGATTGGCTGTAGACTTACCTAATTGAAAATTAATAACGCTTGTATAAACGCGAGGATTTGGCACTAGCGTACCGTTGACAATGTGAGGGAATAATTTACTGTTCGTATATACCATAAACTTCAGGTTTAACTCGGCTATTACTTGCGCTTGGCCAGCGAAAATTGATTTCGGAAGATGCACTGATGCCTCCAGATGCTTGAATTTGAGAAGATGGCAACAGATTACAATGACATATGTCGAACTTTCTTKTCTAACATACCTACTACAACACAAATTGTAAAAATCTTACCTTTGGAGAAAATAACGAAGCATTCTTCCAAGGATGGTTGCATCGTATGGAATTCAGACTACCATTTTCATCAAGCCTAGCATCGCAGGTTGCTCCTTTAAAGTTTGCGCGGATAACTGATACAATGATCATTCCTATATTGTCTGATATAAAGCGCGTCCCATCCAAGTTTGAGTTGGCTAAAACTTCCAGAACTAACACAAAGCTGTGGAAAGAATATTACCTATTATTGGACACACGTCAAGCTATAAACATTCCAATACCGCAATTCATTGACAAACCTCGAGCACGCTTTTGATTTGAGCTGTGCAGTGGCAAGAATATGTTGGTCTACATCCATCATTTTACTGATAACACGTACAACAACTTCACCGACCTGGTAATGGGGAAAAACAGATTATTTTTGTCGTGCTCTGCTTCGTTCAAGATAACAAATCTTTTACTTTTGATGATTGAAAGCCACAGGCAACCTAACCTAATCATTTCGTAAGCAGACTTTGCTATATGTAAAAAGCCATCTCACAATACAATATTTCCCCGCTCTTCACTTACATTACTGCAGAATTTCAGTAATATTTCAAGAGTAAACCACGTCACAATGGTTGGTACGTTTTTTACCTATTTTTCATTTAGAAATGCCGTGTTTACATGCATGGCAAATAATGTAGAATCAGCATTAAGATGATTAGCCTAGGTTGCCCACGTCAATCAATCTGCACATTACCTTCTTGTTAGCACCCATAAATGGCCTGAGACTTTCTAGAATGCTGGCTACATATGATACGTCGATATCCGACTTGACGGCCGAAGAGTTCATAGTTATAGTATACAGCGCATTGCAGATCGCTAGAACTGTAGTAGAGTTGGCTGGAAACTATAAGATAAAAAAACATATCAATGATGATGAAATTTCAGTAAGCATTTCATTCATTATTCCTCTTAGCAGMAACGAGGATGCCAGTTCAGAGAAAGACGATAAGAGTGATAGTTAAAGTAGTCATGACAACAGTGCCTTGTCACCTGTTTAAGGTTATACAGTTTTTGWGTGACTTTATCGACGTAAGCGCATTCATTTCCTTCAACATCTTGCCATCGACCACCTCGCCCACATTTTCTGTAAGCATAACCTTGACTCTTAAAGCTCCTAAACCTTCGTAAGACTCCCGCTGGACAAGGCAAACGAGCGACTACTCCAAGATCTGTATTATCCCACTGGAATATTCCTTTTGATGTCTTGGTAACATCTGAATGGCAAAACTTTGATCCACCGGSCAGAACCTTCAATACAGATTCTCCGCTAACAAGGGTCTTGTCACTCGATACAGTGCATCTATACACCCCACTATCTCCCAACGATAACGATTCCAATTTTAAAGTACTAACAAGTCTTGCAGCTTTAACGTCAAATTTAAAATCGATAGCTGTTCGAGTTTTATTCAAAGAGTGAGGAATCAGTTTCTGGTCGTCTTTGTACCARTTAATCTCGAGTACAGGAATCCATGTCGTTCCACATGTAAATGTAAAGCTATCTCCTTTAATAGCTACCTCGTCATTGGTTGGTTTGAACTCATAGTATGGTAGGGTAAGTGTCACTGCAAGAAATTTAGATAAAACTACTCAGTCCTGGCTGCTGCATGATGCTTCATGCATTGCGAAGACARAYTACTCACCACATCTCATATCTTTTGGGGTATTTTCTTTCAGTTTTATGTTCTTTAATGGTTCAGGATATTGACACGTGCCAGTGAGACTTCTTTTTAACTTTTTCATTTTTAACAGCCATTTAATATGACAGTCACACAGCAAGTCGTTGTACTCTAGATTCCTGACAAAATACAAACACTTAGAACTTTTTTTTGCGAGACGAATTCACCATCTGATTAATATTAGCACAACACTAATACAATGCATTGCGGGTTAACATKTCAGAATTTAAACAGAGAATGAGAAGGAGTRAAGATTTTGATGATGCATTTAATGCGGTCAAAAAATAACCCCGTAATAAGATCACACAAAAATGAGCTTCAACCTCGATAGCTGGATTGATGGATACTGAGTGGCAACCTTTTCTCAAACTGACGTAGACGTAAGAGAGAACGTATGGATTTAGAAAGTGACGTCCCCAAAACAACAATTTCTCTATGCCATTTTTTAACAGTTTAACTTCTGCCACTTTACGAACACCTGTCCAATAAAGTTCATGCTATAACCGACCATAGTTGATAGAGGGAGATGGTATCTCCCTCTATTAACTATGAACCGACGCAAGTTATTTCGTCATTAATTTCTTTTCCTGTGTACCCAGTCCCACACTGAAAGTTTTTATCAGAAGAAAATATGCATTGACCCGAAAACACCACTCGTTAATATTTAATTTATAATTAACAAAAGAGATAGCGAGGGAGATTTCATTTTAAATAATGGAATAACTGAAATTTAGAATCAAAATGAGTACTTTTGATAGTTTCATTCTAATTCATTTCTTTTAGTTAAATACATGAAGTTTCTTGTCTGCCTATAATACCAAATAAACTTATTTGTTCTACGATTTAGTCTTATTAACGTAATTTGATTTCCACGATCAAAAACGCAAAACTGCATTTCAGGATGTAGAATCAAAAGTGTTCTTTTCTCTAGCCRAGAATCTTGCTTTCCTAGCCACCAAATCCATTGTGCTTTGACTCAATTTACAACGCTGAGGCTCCAATACTTTGTTAATCATATCTTTGACTGCTTCAAACTCTTGCYTAGCATTGTCTTCCAGSACAAACATAACATGATCRAACATTACAATCATGTGCCTCATGCACTGAATCAGCTTACTCAAATTTTCACCAATGCGTACTTCTAAGTAATCCATSGCAAYYATCATCTTGTTAACACTGTCCAACGTTAGCGTTTTTTCAGCAATTAAGCTTTTTATACAAAAAGATATTTTGCGAAGCGAGTGACAAACTTCCAGTAAATCACTGACGACTTTCTGAAGGTTACCAAAGAAATAAAACTGTCCTTCCTGCAATGCTTTTAGCTTCCTTTCTTTTGAGATAACATGCGACTCCATTACAATGGATATAACACACCTTTGGAATACATGTAGTATGAACTCAAAAACGCATATAAAAAACAATTGTTCAAAATAGAATTAAACCAATCATACGACAATATCATCACACTATATCTGTGAGTCTAGCCACGGAGTAGATAAAAACATAAGAGAAAACACATGTTGTTGTGAGCCTGCGTTACAATCGACGTTTAACCATGGGAGTCTTTGGAAAAACATTATTGTATTGTCAAAACTACGTCTTAAGTAAGGTGAATCCAACTAAGTCTAAGGTAAATCACTAAAACCTTTTTGATTTTCTTCAATCTGTGAACTATATTATCATGATCTGCCGTAAATAAGTCTAAAACGGCATATTTTAACTTATCTGAAATAAACATGAAAATATTGATTTTAGCATAATAAAGAAAAATCACTTTCCAACAGAAAACTTAGATAAATAAAAGTCGATTTTGATAAATACAAGCACATTTTTAGAAACATATACATGTTAATGTAGACGGTACCTGAGCTTTCTCTATTTTTTTCTCTATTATCAAGATAATTTGACTTGCTTGCAAATTGTATATTAAACAATTATTGGACGAGGTTATTAGAAATAATCAAGTTCATAGCAAGTGAAATCAGCCGAGACTGAAGGCTAAGGCAGATTCTACTTGCTGAGACTGTCCAGTTTACCATACATAACCCTAAGGCAGATTCTACTTGCTGAGACTGTCCAGTTTACCATACATAACCCTAAGGCAGATTCTACTTGCTGAGACTGGCCGGTTTACCATACATTTTAGCAAAATAAGCCATGTCAAAGTGTAAGTTAACAGTGCAAATCTGCAGTGAGCGCTGCTAGTGAAACCTACAGCTTATTGAAAAGGTTATTAGCTATCCAATTACCTTTTCAGTAATCTGTAGATTGCCTGATTGTGAAAATTAAATGCAATCTGCTGACCAGTCAGATTTAATTTATATAGTTAGTATAATCTAAAATAATAACATTCAAGATAGAAGAKAAATACTTACAGAAGAGTGAGTGACTGAAGAGGTTTTAACGTTGCCTCAGGTATGATAATGAACTTGTTATATGACAGTATCCTGTGAAGTTAGTTAAATACCTATTAATGCAATGTTTGTACTAAAGAAAAAACAAGCAGCAGTAATTAAATCATCAAGGATCTAATAACCCCAGCACAGAAAGAACTCAAGTTGTGAGATGTTCCATCTGAACATGCATGAATTACTTTACATGATGCAATTGATGTCTGACACTGAATAAGTGTCACAAAAAGTACTGATACAGGGCTCTCAACACGTCAAGTCAATTTCAAATCTTGAGATTGATAAATCAACCATTTTTTTCACAAACCAATTTGATACTTCACTTTAGTCGTTAGTCAGCTCCATTATCAATAAATATACTTAAAAGCATGAGAGTTTTTCCATTTTCTTGAAAAACTGGGAGATTTTTATGTTGAATTCTTGAGACAGAGAGATACCACCCAAAATCTTGAGACTCCCAGATTTTCTGGGAGCAGTGTTGACAGCCCTACTGATAATCAWTGACTTTTCTAGTGTACTTGCATTGGTTAAAACCTTGCATGGGTCAATGATGAAGGGCATACATATGATATTGGACACCATATACAGATTGCCTAAACACTGATTTACAAGTACAATTGTGACATGTGACTTGTAGTACATGTATAAGATTTACAAGCTGTGGTTCCTACAAGTCATAGGTAGTGTACAACTGTTGTACTGTAAGCAGCCCTATGGGCAATATACAGCACTATTTGGAGCTCACTTGAGTTGAATACTACAAGTCTCACGAGACAATCATACTGTGTAAATACTGCAGTTTGGAATTCATAGCATAAAACCGCTGTTTTATTTGATAACAGATTCTCTTGTGCAAAGACCTGATCAAATACAAAAGAGAGCATGAGGAAAATGTCATTATTACAATAGCCTGAAAATTTACATTTTTCACAAGTTGAGATTAACCCTGTATTCCCATACCTAAGATATGAGCCTTCTGGGAGTACAGAGTTAGCCTAAAGTAAATTGTTAGCAGTATTGTACTACAACATTTTATCCTGCTTTCTTTTTTGTTGGGTAAGTTCTTTGCGTAAAAGAATCTGCTCTCAATAAAACAGTGGTTATTCGCTTTGAATTCGAAAATGGAGTATTGGTCTTAATATCTCATGGATTATTAATGAGTTTATAAATTATTGTATACCCACAATTTTTGCAATCTTTTGAGTCCTTTGAACACAGTTCCATTAATAAAGTTCAGATTATTGTGACTGAGATCTCTGTATAAGAACAAACAGTTGTACAGTAAGATGAAAAATAAAAGAAATAAAAGAACAGATTAAACGAAAAGAAAAATATCAGATACTTACAGAAACCTAAGAGATTTCAGACCTTTAAAAGGTTCTTCAGAAAGAGTTAAAAGATCATTATGAGAGATTTCCCTGAAGACACAAATGTAGGACATTAAATTTGTCATTACTACTCTTTGTATTACATTCATACTAACTCTGATTGATACGAGTGGTAACKCAGTTAATCCAGGGTTCAAAATAGCAAACACCTACTGGTTATAGCTGGCAATTTCAAAAGAATAAATGGAAAAAAATGCCAATATTTGCCTGAAATAAAACTATTTTCATTTATGAATTGTCATTAATCTACAAGCTATCTAACACCAAGACACTCAAAAACGCTGGCAGTTGTTGGCTTATGGAAGCACAAAATTTATTTTTTTTAAAGTATTAAAATTAGCACTATTTGCTTCATGGATTAAGTGCGTCCACTCCATAATAGTATTGGGTAATCTAAGCTGTGAAGAATACTACATGTATCTTTTGTCAGTTTTGGGACACACATTACTGGCACTGGAATGGTTTTCTTTTGAGACTGCTTGAATGGTATCCCATCTCATTTATTCAGTTGCTTTAAATAGCTTTCCAATTGATTTCATTAGTTAGACTTTCATGGTTAAATTTGTTTACCATAGAAATATCTTTCATCTTGCACTTTCAATCAATGTGTGATCATACTTTCTTCAATGCAACTAGCCAAATCTTTGTTRAACCTTTTTTTAAACTATAACCTGGGTTGGTACCACAATTCTCTTATCATTATTATTATTAAACATTTGATAATCATACTTACAACTTGTTTAGTCTAGTCAGTCCTGTAAAAGAACCATTCTTTAGTGACCTTATCTTATTTCTTGACAAATACCTACAAGTAAAAGCAATATTAGAGATAAAAATAAACTATAATTTCAAAAGTAATTATAGAAACATATAATACAATGCATGTTTGAATCTAAAGGCTGGTTACACACAAGGAAGCTTGCTCCATCAACATATTTGCCCCTGAAACTTGCACCTTCATATTTAACCAATGTGATAKGGGGAGCAAAAACATTATGGCTATTGCTACATACACAACACTTCATTTTGCCCTTATGGGATATGCCTCTGGTATTTTCTTAACTGAGTAGGGCCTGTCTGTCTCACTCAGTTGTGTGAAAAAAAGAACATGCGAGAGGTTAAATACAAAAGGATAATGGGCAGGTACAGTACATGTAAGTGTGTCCTTGTTTCTACGTATGAGATGGCTGTATACAGCTTTAACTATGTTAWGTTTTAATTCTAGGCTATTGTTTTGTGCAACTAGGAGATAATTATTGCTACACAATCATTTTGTTGATGTTGTACTACAGCTTATGTTCCAATGCTCCAAAGCTAATTCCTTCTTGAATTTCTTGTAATCTTATAAAACTCATTAATATTCATAAGGCAAAACTAATAGAAATCATAGCCCATGAAGAGAGTCATACTGTATATTACTGCATACAGATTCTTGTTCATTTGCATAAACCTTTGAAGTTTAAAAACTTTTCTCGGTCYAATTGAATTTTTTTTAAAGTTTCTTTAAAACCTGAGCTAGTTTACCTCAACGTTTCATAAGTAATATACAATATTCGCRKGCGATCTGTATGAGGTTTAAAACAGCTCGCTTTCAGCTGGCTGTTTTAAATCCTCTACAAATCGCACGCTCATATTGTACRTATTACATATCAAATTCATTAATAATTCATAAGTTAAACACAATGTGAAATCATTGCTGTGACTATATCTTTACATAAGCAAGAGATCGTTAATCCTGATTTGGATGCGACTTAAATTTCGATTTTCTCTCAAAATGGATGTTTTATCTTGAAGTGTTTAGCAGAATATGCTAACCCTTTTGTGTTGGAATTTAACAAGCAACATAAACTTTTTATGTTTGACCTTTATGGGCTGGCTACAAAGTTTTAATTAAGAAATATAAAACGGCGAGCGTGTCTCTGTCCTCTGATATAAACACGGTGGGAGTTCGAAAAACACGAGAGAAGCAAGCTTAGGAACACGAGCGTAGCGAGTTCGAAAAACACGAGAGAAGCAAGCTTAGGAACACGAGTGTAGCGAGTGTTTCTCTTGCTTTTCGAGTGTTTTTCAACTCCCAACGTGTTTATATCAGAGGATAGAGACACAAGCGGCCATTTTATATTTCTTTTATAAAATTTTTCGAGCGAAAAGCCAATTTTGCCGGTAAGCCRTGTCTCTGTCCTCTGATATAAACACGGTCGTCAGCCAATCAGAGCGCGCGTTATATATCAAAAATTTTATAAATGCCCATAAAGGTCTCCTACTCATATGTTATATTCCTTAGAAATATAATAATTTATTTAGGCTACACAATTTTTTTTGGTGCAGCAGACAGGGAAACAAATTAAAATSCAAACAAGAAAAATAATTATATTATATAGAATAAAGTTTACAAAAAAATAGGATTAATTACAGCAGGTGTAAACATGGATTTAAAATAAACATAATCTAATGATCTTAACAAGAAAACATGAATTAGACAGTCTATAATATATACTAGATAATATTAGTAACAAGGAGCGAAATTAAAATAGCAAAGGAGGCATGACGACTGTTCGTGATAACTTACTAAACTGAATACAAATCAAAACAATGTTCTTGTAGGCATAAAATTTTAATTTCACGCAGTGGATTCGYTTTGTCAAAGTATTCTAATGTTTCAAAACTTATGAATTTCAAAGAAATACGTGGAAATATGTGGTCCTGAGCGGAAGGGGGTGTCCTGATTACTAACGCGAGACTTGTCTGTATGTATTTTTTTGGCTATCAAGCCTAATATTAAGACTAGTGAAAATATGCGCTTGTATGTACTTTTTGTCCATGTTATTACATCCCGAATTGAATTAATGATATATTGATCAGTTACATAAGTTTCTTTTGAAATAACAGGATAAAATACCACTAAAATAATAACATATTATAAAGCCAATAATGGTATGATTTCTTTTCTCACACATTGAATCACTTCAACAACAATGAAGTGCATTTCATTCTAATAGACAAGAATCACTTACARTTTTTTAAGAGATCTTTGCATTCCAAATGCTTTTGTCGGAACAGACGTAATTTGGTTATTCCTTAGGTTTCTAGGGGACAAAACAATCGGTTAGCTAGACAAAGTCAAAATGTTGACAACGGTCTCAATGCAACGCCGTTGTTTCTTTTACGTTTTACACACGAACAATACACTGACGACCTGATCGTCAATCGAAGCAAATGTAAAACTTACAGATCAGTGTTTTGATCTTACACTTTATCATCCGAATTAAGCATACAATTATTCYAAAGACTAGTTCATTGAATTGGTCACTGACATACATTAAATCGCTTATGTTTATAGCTAAGCTTTAAGTTATGTACTCACAGGACAGAAACGTTTCTCAGTGAGTCTGGCGATAAACTGATTTCCCTGAAACCACTCCCTTCGCACTTCACAAAAAGACCTTTTGCTGGATCTCTACTAGGACATCTACATTGACGAGGACAAGTTAGTGAAAACTGCAATCGAAGAACCATATACAGTACAATCCATAACGCTCTTTCAAACATGGCGCTACTACATTCAGTGTTTTAGGTAAAGTCTTATTCGATCCCAAGAAAAACAAATAGGTTGATATCAAATCATCCCACACTTTTGCAGTTCTAAGAGATTTCAAGTAGTTCTTTCAAAGAAACATTCTTTCGGTGGCGATAGTTCCTCACTGCGAGAAGAATAAACAATCTGGTCTCTAAAGTCAGAAGTCTGGACATGAAAGAAATTAGCATAATCATTGGGCACGATATGCCTAAAAMAATTCTGTCTAGGGAGGAGTAAGTAAGACAGTCAAACAGACTCATTCCTAAATAATCTGTAATTTTGCTTTATCAAATATTTMGTTGCACAAATAGGCAATAAATTAGAATATTCAGTAACGATCTCTACATTGAAAAAYTTTTATCTATGCACTTTTACATTTCCTAAATTTAGGCACAAGAAACAACAGCGGAAATAACATAAAATATTTTGAGCCCTACCCCCCAAAGAGTGCGCATTTGTTGCTTTCACGTGGTTTTAACAAAATGGCTGCCGCTGGAGTTTCTTCAAGAGTTCTAGTTTACGGTGGAAAAGGAGCTTTGGGAGCTACTTGTGTGACATACTTCAAGGCCAGAAACTGGGTAAGAGAATATTCATTATTGAGAATTGGTATTAAGATTAGTTGGGGTTCAGTAGCGTCCACACCAGTTATTTCTTACTAAGCTTGACTAATTTTCTTAAATAATTTSTGATTATTTGAATTTAGTGGGTGGCTTCAGTGGATTTGTTCCCTAATGAAGATGCCCATGCAAATGTTATTGTAGATCCTTCCAAGTCATGGACAGAACAAGACCAAGAGGTAAGAACTTCACGCAGATAATTTACACACAAATTAATATAGCTTAATGCTCATGAGTTTTAAAAATATAAAAAATGAGAACATTTAATAATGGTTCACAATTGAAAAAACGATATAGACTTAACCAGTAGAAGAAGCCTCAATCCAGCATGCATTRCTAGTCTATGTAAAAAAAGCTACTGAGGTCTTGACCTCAAATTCATCTTCAACAATATTTTTGTCTTTTAGGTGCAAAAGAGGATGGATGAAATATTAGATGGGWATACTCTAGATGCCATTGTATGCGTTGCAGGCGGATGGGCTGGAGGAAATGCAAGTAGTAAAGGTACAACAGTTTTGTGAATTTTGATAGTCCTAGCAATATACTCTTTTTTCATTTATAAAATAGATTGCAAATWTTAAGCATTTTTGATTTATTAAAATAGAGCATTTTGATTGATTATATATCTCACATGGAAATCAAGCCATCTGTTCCATGTGTAAATACTACCATCTGGCTTTGTTTGCTTCAAAACCTAGCTAAGTATAGGTCTATGTTGAGACTTTGCTAGTGTTTAGCTTTTTCTATGGCAAGGTCTGTCATCTGACCAAGTAGATGGTCATTATTTGACTAGTTGCTCATTAATTATTAATGATTTTTATAGACTTACAATTTATTTTGTGTGCTAAAATTGTAGTTGTGGTCAAAAATGCTGATTTGATGTTTAAACAAAGTGTTTGGACTTCCCTGATAGCATCAAGTATAGCAGCAAAGCACTTAAAAAGGTTTGTGTAATAAAGCACTGTGTTCTTTTGTTATGGATTCATCGTCAGAATTTTTGATGTTCTAATTGTATTTATTAGTGCTGGATTGCTCTCTTTAACTGGTGCACAACCATCTCTTGCTGGAACCCCAGGTTAGTTACTGTTATTGACACTAAAAGTGCAATAAAAAAATGTTAAAAGATAAATGATCTGTAATTGAAATGATAATTATTAATTGGACAGTATTGATTTTTTATTGATTGACAAGAAGTGTTGATTACTGTAATATCTAGATAAGATATTCTAAGATTACCTAATTGAAAAACTGATTATTTATCAGGTATGATGGGATATGGTATGGCTAAAGCTGCTGTACACCAATTAGTGAARGGTCTTGCTTTGAAAGGCAGTGGCCTACCTCCTGAAGCCATTGCTGTTGCAATTTTACCGTAAGTAATACTAGAAGAGAGTAGAACTCAACATAAGCAGCTCATGATTTATTCAGTTGTTTGTCGAAATCAGTGCAATCCATCATTCTTTCTAAACATTTTTTTATTTTTTATGCATCCATAGATTTTTTCAAATCAACCATTTTTTTGCTGATTATTATAACCAATACCATTTTCATTCATCGGCTGTCTTTCTATTCTTGTCACATTTTTTCTTGTTGCAGATTTTTTCATTAAGATTCATAGGTCTTTTTTCCTTCTKATCAGTATGACCTTAGACACACCAATGAATAGAAAGGGCATGCCAAATGCAAATTTCAGTGACTGGACTCCACTAGAGTATGTTGCTGAGTAAGTAGCTTGTACCTGTTTAATGAATATTGCACTTTCAATATTTGATATCCTTTGAAATGAAAAATTACATTTAATKCTTTCTTTGAATTGTCTAGAGTTCTTTATGGCTGGTGTGATGGCAAAGACAGACCTGAATCTGGTAGTCTTGTTAAACTGAACACCAAAAATGGTAAAAGCTCCTGGGAGCTGCACACTGGCTCTTTAATTTGAATCAAGAAATTACAGTTACTAAAGATGTTTTTTGAGGTGTAAGTTTTTTAGTGTTGTATTAAAATTCATGAATGTTTCATGTAGTAGTGTTAAGGTTGCTTGTGCAGTTGGGCAAATACAATCATGTGGGTTGTASACTTCCACATGCTGTGAAATAGATCAAGTAGCTGTAAATCCCAAGAGAGCAGTCTTTAATTCCATTTTCTATATATTTGATTATTGTACATACTTAATTAATTTTCTACATGTGTATGTTGTTTTTCAATACAACAGTCATCTAAATGTACCTAAGACAGCTAAACAACATTTTGGGGGATAGTTATACCTGAATGATTGGGTTGTCAAGTTAACATTGATACATAAATCATTCATAAAATYTGGTAGCAAGMGAAAGTGTGCARAATCTTCATTTGGTGTGCTTATAAATATGAATATTTGTAAATTGGTGAATGCATATTTCATTTAGGAAAAACAATTTTGAGTATACAGCAATTTCTACGTAGCAAAACAGTGAAGTAGCTTTSTGTTTATCTTTTCCTTGGTGAGACATTCTCATCCATGTAATTGACCACGTTACCAGCAGGTCTGTACCGTGCTACCACATATGTAGACCTTCCATCTGGGGTTGTAGCTCGGCCCATTCCCAGCTCTTTACTTCCCTTCCAAACAAGCTGAGTGAAATGGCCAGAGCCCCCTTGGTATCCTTTCCTTGAAAAGTTGTAATCTTTAACCTCCTCATACCACATATCAGATGCTCTTTGACCAGCATTGTCATAGTCACCAGTGAACATAGCAAGGTTTTCTCCCATGTCACCACGCTCACTTTTACTAGAATGCTGCAAAGTACGTGCCCTAGCCAGCTTCTCGGCATACCACTGTGCTTGTTTTGCAATGTCGTCATTCCATTTTAAAGGARGAGCTGAATGCATGGTACGATACTTGTTGTGGGAAAAGATGCATTGGTCTTTGAATGACTTGTCAATCTTTGTGCTTGATTTAGGAGCATTTGCTGCAACAGAATCATGACAAACATTGTAAGCTGTTTCACTTGGCAAGTTTTGTGTGTAAGCTTTGATTACCAACCTGGCTTAGTGTCTTGTGAATGGAACGGACTAGAATCTGAGAAAGAAGTATCAAATGTAATTGTTTTCTTTAATTCTGCGGTATTTATCCCAGCACGTTGTAAAA